TATCAAGACTTGCATGTTTTAGCCTTAACAAATCTGACATTTTAAAACTCAAGTGCCAAATTCAAAGTAATTTAACAACCAGGGGCTTTTTTATTCCAAAAGTTTAAAAAGTTTTCTTAAACAAACAAGTAAAAACCTCAGTAACCCCCCCTACAATAAAACCATGCTTACTCACCCCACTGTCACTGCTACAAGAACATTAGCATCCCTTTTCTTGAATTGGGCCAGCTTACTTCAAGCTGCAGCAAGCATTGTCTGTCTCAGTCATCCCTGAACAAACAGCTGATGAAAAGCAGCTGCAGTGTTGGCATGAAAGCATTCTCAGTCTGGTTTCATTACCCACAACTGCTGTACCTTATACTACATGGTCCTACCACTAGCATTAACAGAACTGTGCAGTGAGGAGAATTTAACAAGCAGGAATTATCAGTCCTCCACATGCAGTAGTTAATGCCAATTAAATTTTAATTGTGAAGTTATTTTGTGTAAGTAAGTCCTATGCAAATTGTTACCTCATCTTCTGCAAAGTTTATACCTCAATAAAATGCCTTGATATGGACAGAAAAGCAGGTGTGTACTGGAATCAATTCCTACATTATCATTACATTTTTAAAAATAATTTTAGATTTTGTCTAGCAGGAGTTAAGGCGTTAACTATACAACTGTTTTGGCCATGTGTCACTGATTTAACAGCTGATTTTGCTATCATTTCTGTTTCTGAAAGATGCCATATTATAGCAAGCACATAGCAGCCTCAGATCTCAAATTTCTTGGTCTTGTGCTCATCTTAATTAAGTATGCAAAACAGTTCATATGTTGGTTTGGGGAATTTTTTGGTTGGTTGGGTTTTTTGTGGTTTTGTTATTGGGTTTTTTTTGCTTCTTTCTTTTTTTTAGCCAAAAGCCATGTGCTGGAGTGATCTGACAAATGTACTTGTTATGGCTGTTCAGTCTTTCAAATACTTTCCTCTGCTGTCCTGGCTGGTGAGCAAATGCATGTAATTTCAACTCCACTTTCTACTTACAGGTAGTTAAGAAAATTTGCCTTTTAGGCTTCTGTTACTTTTTTTCTTCCTCCAAGTACATCTCTTAGGAGATCCTTAGGGATCTTCAGAGACTCGGGCATTAAGAACCTGTCTTTGGACATGTAGAGAGCAACTTGGCTGTGAGAGTTAATTGGTCTCAATCATCACTATTAAGCACATTGAAGGAATCTTAGAAGGAATCTTACCCTGCCATCATTACTAGAAAGATTGCCTAGGCTCTGCTTCCAGCTATTCCCCTGCATTACAGGAAAGATTGCTGAGCCTCAAGGCTTTCTCTGAAAGACATCTTTAGCTCTGCAAAAGCAAATCCAGCTTTCTTCCCATTGCTCCTCTTAGATAGAACAAGAGGAGGGGAGGAGAAAGAGTCCTAGTCCTCCTAATCAAGGCAGGGGGGAGAGTAGAGATGAGTAGTGCAGTCCACCACAAGGATGAGCTAATTCAGGTGCTCTTCTCTACAGCTTCTGCTTCAATTCTCAATATTTAACTAGTTCAGATAGTAGCCCTGCACCCTTTAACCACATTAAGGCTGTTGGCCTCTCTTGTCATAAGGGCACATTACTGGTTCATGGACAGCTTCTACCCCAGGTCCTTCTCGGGGCAGCTGCTTCCCACCCAGCCTGTGGTTCCTACCCAGGAGCAGGAGTGGTCATTCCCGGTGCAGAGCTGCATGAGGTTCCTCCTGTCTCATCTCCTGGGCCTGTCCTGCTCCCCTTGTGTGGCAGTGCCCCCAGCTGGCCTACCAGCCACTCCTCTGGCTTTGTGTCATCTGCAAACTCGCTGAGAGCTCAGGGATGCAGCACACAGGCCAAAGCAGCCTCACTTTAAACTGAAAAACAGTAACAGTTCCCAGTCCCAGGTGGTAATGGATTTATGCATCCTGACAGCACACACCTTCTCTTTTCTCTAGTGGTAGAGAAGGCTTCTATAGAGCCCTCTCCCATTTAAGGGATTCAGAGATTTAGCCTTACTGAAAAAAACATAAATTGTAGTTTCAAAAACTGGGGACACAGGCACTTCCAAAACAACTAGGTAAAAAATTTATTGTTCATCTGAACTGCTGAGTAGGCTACACAGCTTTTGGGTTTTTTCCTTGAGCCCCGTACCTTTGTAAAAAAGGGAGATGTAACTATCAGTAGAAATGCAAAGCAAAGCTAAAATGAGTGTGACTTTAAGTTATAGAAGTTGGGTGCCTGTCATGGCAAAAACACAAGTCAAAAATGATAAAAGAGTCAGAGCAGAGTTGTCTTTTTTCTTTTACTTTAAAAATACTGAAACACTCAAAATTATAAAAACAGAAAAGCCTCTTGAATCCTTGTAGAAAAAAATAACTATGCATAAGTCTGAAAAAAATATAACCTGATTCAGATCATGCCATGCTTTGGGCAAGCTACATGGTCTTTAAACACACCTTGTGAAAGTGTTTGGACTGAGGAAAATAAACGGCCCACCTCCCATTCTGGACAGCTGACTGATGTTCCACAGAAAGCCGAGTACCAACAGTGCATAATCCTGGGAAATAAATAACAGTGAAAAGCCTTATTCTCTATTTTTTTTGAAAGTAGGATTTGGCAAAATTCCTCTATCTCCACAAACACCAGCTGTAAAAATCAAATTAACAAATTCCAGTTATGTTTACACATCCCATCATTAAGTTTGCATACCATCTTACTGTGTTTTGGTACTGTTCTGAAAGTAGTATTTTGATACACATGACACAACCACACAGAAAGACACAGCAGCAGTTTTCTTGCTGGACCAGGAACTCCACTTGCCTCCCCACATGGCCTATTTCAGCTCCTCCTTGAAATGCTGTTGTTATACTCACCCAGCTGTGTCTGCTGTACCCACCAGCCCTGTCTTACCCACATCTAAGAGGAGAAGCATGGTAGTTGAGTCTAAAATTAGGAAACTCTTAGGCCAAGCCTTCATCAAAAGGACACGTCACTCAAGGTCAGCTGTACATACTCTAATGTATGTACAAGAAACAAGATGACCCCATCTTCTGGTATCAGACATCAACATCTGGCTCAAAAGTCTTTTGGTAAACTTTTGACTTGTCTTTTGGTAAACTTTTGATTTTGTCAAGTGAGGAGAGCAGGGTTCACTTACCAGACAGCATGGCCAGGACTTTTAACACTTAGAGCAGCAGGAAAAGGCAGCCTGAAGAGCATGAGAGCAGTAGGAAATTTATTTATTTGAAGGAGATAGAAATAGGGCTTGCCTTTTATATGCCAGGCAGGAGGATGGAGGAGGGCCAGCAGCACCGGATGCTTGTATGCAGATATACCCAGTTAAATTTATGGGCAAGTCATCACCCTCTGCAAGTATTCTGCTGAGTCATTTCTACTTTACCTTGTTACACATGATGATCAGCCTCTACATGTGAACTAACAAACAGCCAGCAAATTAAGAAGGTAGGAGGCCATAGTCCAAACTAGCTCTGCTAGTCCAGGTCTATCATATTCAGGTAAAAAACCCAAAAAACAAAGGGAAGAAAACACATAATTGATTTGTAAAACCAAATGTTTTTAAAGTTACTGTCAGTGAAGTTAAGCCTTAAGCTGTAGAAACAATACCAAGTCACACTGAACTTCTACCTAAACAGGCACCTTCTAGAGAGAAAAGTCTAGAAATTGCCAATAAGCAGGCAAGAACTAAAACAATTTGTGTTGTTTCTAGTGGACTTTGTACAAAAATAAGTGAGCTGGAAGCCAGCCAGGCTACAAGAACCTGCTCTTGTCATATCAAGAAGTGCAGAAGAGTATGGTCTTGTTAGCATAAATAAAAATAGCAGCAATGTACCCAGCACAGATTCTTTCAAGTGCCAGCTTTCACTTTGCAATGCACAAGCACCCACACTAGCTACTGTTTCTTGGGAAGCTGAGACACACATAGCCATACAGCTGCCTAAATTAAAATTCATTGCTGGGATGCCAAGATTTCCAAACAGCAACAGCATAAATAAATACACATTTCAGTATCCCATTTCATCCATTTCTGCAAGTTTAAATAGTACTGAGTTTGAACAATACTTGTAATTGGGGTAAAAATCCCACCAGTTTCTATTATTTTTAAACTGTAGGCAGTGTATGACACTGCTCCCCTCTAAATTGCAGCTCACATAATCAGGTATGAACAGACAAAAATGCAGCTTTTACCCAAGAGGAGAGGAGAACATAACAGATATTTTTAAGTTAATATGAACTCTTCTATAGAGACAGGCTGACTATAAAGGAGCAGGTGAAGTATCTGTTTTCTAAGCACTTATGTTTAAGGCACTGTTAGTGACCTATTAACAGAGCTGTCATTTTTATCACTAGTAACTATTGAAATTTTTAATATGCAAGTAATGAGGTAAAGATACAGCATTGGAAGACATATTGCATATAGACCTGCAGAGCCATGGGATTTAGTTTACCTTTACAAATGAGATTCAACAGTCAGATTTCACTGCAGCAGGAGTCAGATAATGACTTTTTATGTCAGGAAAACATCAAATACTCCAGATTATTTTGCCTGCATGAAGTAACTTTTAACACTCAAAAATAAATAGTTTTCCTTGTCCCCACCACTTGCGCAATCGAATATGAACTTTAAAAAGACAGGAAATCACATGAAATTTGACTCTGTGCAAGAGGGTATGCCAATGGCAAAGATTATGTAGGCACATACACTAAAACTGAGCTGACTTCAGCCCAAAGCTGAAGGCATCTTGATGCCAGCAGCAGCAGAGACCACCAGCTGCATTAATAGAGCTGAAGTCTAAACTAAAGACTAGCACTCTCAAAACCCTTACCACACACCTTTACTGTAGTTGTCACATTTTGTCCTGTAAAGTGTTGATGACTTCTTGCCCTGTATCCCAGCACTGACAAGATTATTTAAACAAGCATGAAAGGCCAAGTTTCATATGAAGGGTAAGACAAGGTCCAATTTCAAGACAAGAAATGGCAAATCAAGTTTGTAAAATATTTAATAGAGCAGTTTCCCAGTGGACTCCTGACCAGAATCATAACCAGACTTCTAAAAATTATATATATTTTCAGATTTGAAAATTTATCTTTATTTTTTACAAAATGGATTCCAGGAAGTTTAAAAGGCAATATCATAGAGGACTGGGGCGCAGAAATCAGGTGTAGTCATTCAAAGCATTCAAGTAGGAATATGGTCATATAAATATTTGAAAAGCATCTTTTATCATAAATGTTCAGAACAAAATGTATAACTCATTCCAAACTAAAAATTGAGCTTTATAGCACGTATTTCCCTGAACAGAAAAAATAAGTAACTTTTGAAATATTTCTAAAGGCCTGAAAGCTTTTTCCATGGTTAGTTACAATTAGAAGACTTGCCTTAGATTAAATTCCTTCCTTTCCAAATACGGAAAGTATTAACATCGGTCCACTGTTAAAACAGACAATGTGTTGCAAATTAATTCTGGTAGAGTATGTTCCAAGAAAGCCTGGAGTACAAAGGTGCTGAGGTGGCTCTGAGTTAGTAGTCGTCGCCCCTGCTGACAACCTCCTTGCAGGTGGGGCGCAGCAGGATGGTGTGCTCGAACTGCGCCGTGTAGGAGCCCTTGATGTCGCACAGGGGCGGGTAGGGATCCACGATGCCCAGGTCGCACAGGTTCTTCAGAGCCATCAGGTATTTGCTCTCCCCCAGGCGATCCAGCCACCGCCGGCAGAAGGCAAGAGTACCAAAGTTTTCGTTGATAACGTTTAGCAAGTGTTTCGCTCTTGGAAGCCTTGGAGGGAAAAAACCAAACAAGAACGTGTTGGAGAAGACAGAGATATCACCAGCATGCATTCACTACAGAAATAAAGCACACCAACTAAGAATAAAGTTAGACTGCAAGGTCTTTTCAGAGTGCCTAGACTTGGGATGTCTTTCTACATCAGTCACATGTTCTCTTTAGAAAATGAAGTGCGCTCTCCTCCTGCAAATAGATATCCTTCAAAACAGACTGTGAACCTATCTGCAAGCTAAACTAAACACAGGGACAGAAATCTCTCTCTTAAAAAATAAATGGACATTTCATTTTATGTTTTAAGAAAAACAGAATTCTTCCTGATTCAGAGTGGTCAGTAATCTGAACTAATTTTGGAAGAAGCTTGGTGGTTTAAAATGCTGAGTTTTCACTTCTGAAGTAAATACTCAGTAAGCTTTTTATTCATACATCTTACAATATACAGGCATAAAAAATATATATATTTATAGATCTTTTAAAAACTAAGCTTAGTTGCAGTCAAGCAGTTCCTTTGCAACCTTTAGTCTAATTCTTCCTATCCTCTCTCACACTCCCGGTATGTGCTATGGAAAAGCATGTCTGCCTGCTACGTTTCTGACCAGAGTGGTCTTTGTTTCAGAAAATATGTTGCACTCCTACAAATGGCCAAAATGCAAACCCAGTGAAATTAAAAATGAGGAATTTCTTCATTTTACAGCCATGCACTAAAACAAAAACTCAAAACTCTCAAAATATCCATAAAATAAAACAGACAGCACAAATAGCTTAATAGATTCTGGGAACAGCAGCAAGACAAAGATTGTGACATACAACCACAGTACAGATACTGATAAAAAAACCCACTATACATTTAATACACAGGTGAATACACAAATATAATCTATATATTACGAATCATAAAAAAAATAACGGCAGGAAGATTGTATTCCCAAAACATATTTTCTCCATTTTCAGTTTCTTGGAAATAATTCTGTGTTATTCCACACTAACAATGAGAGTGTAACAATATTGCTAGTATTGCCCCTCAAGTCCTTGACAGCCTTATTAATTAGTGAAGAACATGCATTGTTATCAAATTTGAATCCCAAGGGGGTGGTAGCTCTATCAAAATACACCAACAAAATCCAACCTTATTGGCACATGCCCAACATCAAAGTTCTTCATGTAATGAGAACACTCCATATCATCATGAACAACGCCTTTTCCTGTGCTACCAAAGGTTTCTATGGCATACACTTCACCTTCCTAAGGAGAGAAAAAAGGAACATGCTGCAATATGAAAATGTGACATTGTGTCATTGTGATACAACATTTCAGTATTACACTTCTGAACACGAGTAATTAAATGGGAATAGATTCAATTGTCAAATCAATGTAGAAAAAATTCAGTATGAAGATTTCACACATTAGAGTTCCAACTACCATCAACTATTTACATTAGTAGCATTTTATTTCAAGCCAGAAGCATCAGCATGTTTCTAGTCACAATTTCTCAAAGTCCTTGCAGTTAAAACATTGTCAAGGCATACATCTAACATAGCTAAGAGACTACTTTTGCTACCTGGAAGTACTTCTCCTGTGCTATTCAGGTCTAAGTCCTAGGATATGTATAGTTTAGACATAGCAAATAGATGTTGATTACAGACTCATACTGCACTGATGAACTTTCTGCCCAATTTCTGCAAGAATTTTCTGGTAACAGATGCTAGTATATACCTTTAACCTGCTCATTTTCATTCCACAAGATTAATTTCTTGAAGAAATGAAGGTGATACATATCTGCCAAGGGCATTATCGAAATTCTAGCTAAGAACATACTGAAGTGCCATTATACAAACTCATTTCTGCCAAGTGCATTCACACATCCTTCACAGCAGGACTGTGACAGGGACTTAACAAGCCACGGCATCAAACACTGACGGACACTATGAGTTCACTGTTTATTTTATTAAGCTACTTTTAAAGTCACCAGCCCAGAATGAGAAGCCATATGAAAAACAGTAACAGGCTACAAATTCAAACGTTTGAAGATGTCCCTGAATATTCAACTGACTCATTTAAAAAACCAACCCTCAAAAAGCCCCATATAATGCTGCCACAAGATTCACTTAAAACCCACTTTTTCTGAATAAGGATCATCAGAGGCTCTGTTAGTCACAAAAAATTCCCTGGATTGCAGTTTGATACTATAATTAGCACAGTACAGCAAGACCTTGGCTATGCTTCACATTCTTCATTGTCAACCTCACCGTACTTAACAATGTAGAATTGTGTCCTAAGTAACCTACAGAAGCTGAAGAAATTAGAAAAAGTCTTCTCCCCAAAACGAAGCCATTAACTAAGTCAAACTAAGAAGAACACACAAGTTTTTCTATCTTCCTTTTCCAATACTCTTAATCTCTTTGCACAGTCTTATAAATAAGATAATTTAAACTCTGCCTTTTTGTGCACATCATAGGTCAACAACTATGATACAAGTTTTGGGTGATGAGAGTGAGCCTACCTCAAAAAACAATCCTGTCCAGACCACACTTGTGCCTCTTCAGCTCTGACAAGCCTTATCTATGCTGACAGACTTACCGGTGATCATTAGTGATGAAGCTTAGAATAAGATTAAAAGCATCTTGTCTCATCACCCATCCTTTAAATCTTATCTTATGAGAACAAGAGCTTCAGTGACAATGATGGCTAAATCTCAGGTTCCATGTTTGAATACTGCCTTCCCAACCGGTACTTTGTCACATCATGTACAGCCATTGCCCTTTCCCTGCTCCAGAACACTACCCAAACAACATCTTTGAACTAGCCTCTCACAGTAACTACAAATACACTTAATTACTTGGTATCTGCAGAGAAAAACTACATTGGGAACTTTTCAAGAAAAATACTGTATCTAACAGTACTCACAAAAAGTTATCCAAAACTACACTTCAGATGTATTTATCAAGAATTACCTGAGTGAGAGAAGATTTCATTACAAAAGAAACAAACAAGGAGTATGAATGACCTACAAGTCATTCAGGAAAACTCTGATTTCCTAAATTCCAGTTCACCCCTAAATATGAATTCCTTTTTATGTTTCTTTTCTTTTCATGAATGTTCCTAATGCAACATTCCAACACTCCATTAATAACATATACACACAGAGAAATAAATATGTAGGAGTTTTAGTAAGTATTACTGTGGCATTCAGATTTCAACAGTGGTGGGTTTCTTTTGGTTTGTTTTTTAAATAGCAGTGTTCCAAGGCTTCAATTTCAGGAAGTGTTAGATACCTGAACACTCCAGGGCTAAAATTAAGAAGGCACTAGGACAGAACTACTCCTGTATAGGAGCATTACACATTACAGCAGTTATTCCACTGCAATTATTCACCAGAATGACAAAAACTACAAATGAAAAGTGCACAGAAATACTATTCTTGCAAATGATACTGGGGAAATTTAACAGAAGGAATAAAGAACTCAACTGACCTCCATTCTTGTGGCTTCTCCTCCTTTCACAATGGGTACTGTTTTTCCTGCATGTATCCTATAGGGCCCAATGGAGTGTCCGTTCAAATTGCGGATTGGCTTCACTTTGGAAGAGAACATGAATATTACAGGCAATTTCCTAACAAATGGTGAACCCTTTAGGGCAATTTGGTTTGTTATCCCATATTGAAAGTGTAATAGTGAGTCATCATACTGCACAGGAACCAAAGTCAGAACTATCCACGTACCTTGTACAAACACCAGCCAAAACACAGGTTAGTTTTGTAGGCTTTAGCAAGGCTTTGTTATTAAAGAGCAGCAACTCCAACAGTAATAAAAGCTTATTAATAAAGCCAAACAGCAAGTATCAAATCATCTGTACAGTTCAAAACTGCTGTTTAGCATTCATATTATCATCTTGTCTGTTAAGAGATGCAATACTTGGAAGTATAAGCCAAGTTTCTCCAAAGTAAAGGCAAGCCAGCCATAAGCATCTATTTATGCAAGACCCATACCATACTTCTAGCAGAAAAGTCTTTTCAATATCTTATGTTGAAACAATATTTACACAAATTTATATACAGGTTCACACTTCTAAAACAACCATCCCTATATGAAGAAAATAACTTGCCTTGGTATGTTTTGCCATCAATTTCAACTTCATAAGACTCCATAACTTCTTGTATGGCCTCTCCCACATCACAGAGACGTACATCTATTCCAGCACACTGAAAATAAATGCAAATATAAATGGAAAATAATCACAACATTTACTGAAAAAGTCTTTGTAAATTACTTACATAAGGATCATACCTTTATTCCAGTATTTGTGGCATCCTTTACAGCTTGTAATAGTCTGTCATATTTTGGATTGAATGTGACTGTAAAAGCACAGTCAATAATTCGACCTGAAATCAGCAGAAGTTAGTTAGCTTCATAGTATTTGCACCAAAGAACATTCTCAAAGTTTTAATTAATAAATGAAAACTAACCACTAATATGTGTTCCAAAATCTATTTTGCAAATATCATTGTATTGCAGGACTGTTGGATCTCCAGCATTGGGAGTGTAGTGGGCAGCACAGTTATTCAGAGAACACCCCGTAGGAAATGCAAGACCTGCATTTAAACCATTTTCCTTTATCAGCTTACGTGAGCAGTCTTCTAGCTTTTCACTGAAAGGCAGAGGGGAGGGAGAAGAAAAAAAGAATAGGACAGTTGTCATTAGTATTTCTTATGACTACTTCAAACAAATCAATGCAAGAACAAAACCTCAGAAAAATATTAAAGCAAATGTTTTTATATCAAATCAAACTATTCGTATGCTAAGTGGACAGACAACCCTAGGCTGAAAAACATAGGCACAACACAACAATCTTCAGCTCTTTGTGTTGTTTCCTCTACCTTTCTTGGGCAAAAATGAGCCCTTCTCTATTGTTTTAAGTTTAAAATATTTATCCTTACAAGGTACATTTAACCCATCCTTCCTGAACAGCAGAGGTTAGACAACCAAAGTTTAGGCAAATTAAATGCATTCTTTATAATTACTGTGATTTAAAAAGTGGTGGGAAAAAGGAGGTAAAGCCTCTTATTTATTAAAAAACTGATTATAAAAGGACTTTTTTAAAAAAAACTGAGTGGTAATTATGATCAAATAAAACCTTGTGAGACTAGCCTTTGTTTTTTGGTTTTGTCTAATCTCATGATGCTAGCTACTGCAAATTCACAAATACACATCCAACGGTGCATTCTCCTTCAGTGTCAGTGAATGAGGTAAACTGCAGCTCACTGCAGTGCACCAAACTCTGATTTTAAGAAAGCCAGAGAAATATGAAAAAAGAGAGCATGTTTTAATCAGCAAGGCCCCACAGTCTGAGGTACTTTATCAAGAACAGTCATGTTTTGAGAAAATGTGTGCTTAGAACAGCCAAACTGTATAATTCACGAAGACAGATTTGTTTCACCCAGACTAGTGAGCTGCCTTTCTTCTACTTTCCCTCATGGCATATTATGTCTTTCTGTTATCCTTGCAGTTACCTTGGGGATCAGCTCTCATTAGCTTTCTTACTATCCTACTCTTGTCAGCACAGTCCTCAGTCACACCAGGCTGAAAGCACCTGATTTTGGAAGCTAAACTGTTCTGGATCAGTGCAGTACTTGGACAGTAGACATTCAATCTAGATAAACTGAAGGACAGAAAAAGTAATAGTTGGAAGAGTCACAAAAATCGGTCCAGGCTAATTCTTTCTTTAAACTTAATCAAATTCACATTCATCTGAATCCATTTGCTCAGTTATTTCTTACTAACTGAGAATAATAAAAAACCCCACTGTGTTTCCACCAGAAACACCAGTCAGTCAAGGAAGACTAAATGTAGTCCAAACCTTCCTGCCCTGGACTGAATACACAGCCATGCTGGTTTTATGCCTCCTCTCCTTGCCCAGTCCCCAGCACAGACTGCACCTCACTGTCCACATGCCATTTCATGACAATTCTGGCAAGCAGCAGCAGCAGTGCTGCTATTGCTGCTTTTCCCAGCACTGCTGCAGAGTAGCAAAGGCACTGAAAACTAAATGAAGCATATAATCAAAGTACATGAACATCATGGAAAGCTTAGTTTAAAATTCAGTATAATCCCAGGCCCTGTAAAGCTGCATAAGCTAAAAATGCAAGAAGAAGCTTAAAGGAAATAATTGGCAACGGAAATAATTGGCAAGTGGTTGTGTACCTCAAACAAAAATCTCCCCAACATTCATTACACAGTGAATTAAGCACACAAAACTGAGACTAAATCTCTCCCTCTCTGGAAAATGAAGAAAAATCTAGAGCACAGGTCTTCTAGAAGATGTGTGTCCTTACCAGATTTCTATCATTGTCATTCCAGGTTTTATCCAGCTCATAACGTATTTCCTCACTTGTCTGTGTGCCTCTGCAGCCTCCCGAAAATCATTCCAGATTTCCTCACTGGCTTGGTCTAGTGCTTTCTTTTCTTCACTAGTTGTTCTCCAAGCAGCAGTTCGCCTTGAAAATAAAGGAAATGTTTCAAACAAGTTACTATAATCACAGCAGTCATTACAACTTCTGTCTAAAGCCTGCAAAGTGTTTATTAACCAGCCAGGTCTACATTCCCCTGTGTAAGAAAAGATCCTGATTTATACAATTTTCAGAATAAAGGAAGCCTATTAAAAAAAAACCAAATCTATCAGTACCACAGACTAGCAGCTGTGAAAGGCAGTAACATCCTACCAAAGGCCCAGACAAGCAGGGTGCTTGAAGGATGCCTAAGTTTTCAAATACACAGAACAGGTGTACAAAATTCATATTAATACCTGCAATTCCAGTTTAGCAGGGCAAAAAACTGCATCAGGCTCTACTCATGCAAAAAGTTTATTTTTTTCACAATCTTATTCATTCAGACAGCGTTGTTCCTGTATAGAGATGAACCTCAGCACTGTAGTGTGGCTGCTTGGCCCAGAAACTGCTGCTGACACAGACAATAAGCATCTTCAAAATTTAAGAGCTTGCAGTTCTAGTATTATTTTCAGTCATGCTCAGAATATTTAAGTAATAACACCTAACACAGTGCATGGTAAGTATGACACATATCAGAATGTTACTTTCTAAATGGGCTGGATGGTGAATCAACATTTGTTACAGGAGAGCACCACTCATTCTGGCTCTTTGGTAGGTTCATAGAACAAATACAGATATAGTTTTTAATACAGGATTAAGTATAAGATTAGCTTTGAATATATTTTGTATTATGCAAAAATCCAGTGTGACTAAGGTTCCATGAAAGCAAACAAACAAAAACATAATTAAAGTCCTCCAATAACTGTCAGAACTTAGCTAGAAGACTACTCTGACTACAAAGTAGAGAATAACCCTTAAAATGGTGAAGCTGTAGCCACATAGTAGTGCAAAAAACCCTAGTGATGACTCAAAGAACTCTGTACATGCTATGCAAGACAAAAACTACTAGAACAATACACAGCTACACACGCTAGCAGGTGGGTCTTCAAAGAAAATGGGTGGTGGACAAGATGGACCAAAGATGCTGAAATACACTGATTTTCAAATTTAGAAATTAATGCAAATGAGTTGATTCTAAGCAAACAACTGAGTACACAGAGAGTAAAGGATTAGATTTGGAAATCCAAAGGTGCAGCTTTTTACCTGTTTCATAGACACGTATCTTAGCTCCACTGTGAGTTTTCCTTCCAAAAAATAGGTACAAGTGAACCAAGGGACTATGCCCTTGAGTTTTGCTGCATTTTGAACTAAGAATATATACTTATATATAGATTTATAAGTATATATATTTATACTGAGTATTTTAAAATAGTTGAAAAGATAAAGGAGGATAAATCTTTCTCAGGATGATCAGAGGATACAAAATATTTTGAGACCCTTTTGCTTGTTTCCATTGAACTTTCTACTTCTTTTCAGATAAAAGTGTAAAGCAGAAATCCCACATTTACCTTTTTGAGAAGTTTTCTTGCTCCAATAGCAAGCATCACACATACTACTCCTACAATTTCCCTCAATCCAGCAAATTCTACCAAAAAAAGAAAGCAACGTGCTGTAAAACCTGGGCTCCTGCACTGCCACTAGAAAACTGGAATTCTGCCAGCACAGTAGTCATTGAAGATGGAAAAGGTGCACTGCAGAAAAACACTGGGGACAGAGACTCAAAGATCCTTTCAGACTGTTCTGGATTCCAGCAGTGAACACCCCTTGGTAGCAAGAATTGCTGACAGAGTCTGGGCAGCTGCTCTGCCATCTGTCACAGACTTGAGTGCAACTCCAGCAAACTGGCAGGAAGCCATCCTCACTCTGTCTTACTGTATTTCAGCATATTGTCACTTCACACAAGTCAACCGGGGGACAGAACTGCCTCTACGTGTAAAAACACTGTAGCAGACCCAAAGCATTTTGCTGAAAAAGCTGCATTACTGCCACCTGGGAGCTCAGGAAGGGAGGCAACAAGAATTTCTGCTAGGGCCTAAGCACTTCAGGACACATGAAAAATCAGTTGGTCAGGTGAAGGCCTCATGCCAAACATCAAGTCCTCCCACAGGTACATGAGCTAAGAAGCTTTTTTTTTTCCCCTAATGTGCTGCCTGTCACATGTCAGCTGAAGAAATTCAACTCTTGCTCCAAACCATTTGGTCCAGCTTTTTACTCCAGTTCACAGCCTGCAGTTTTCACCAGTACAAATCTTTACAGGATCACACTGTAGTTTAGATTATAGTGATCAAAGAAATCCAGAAAAGCACTTCCTCAGATTATCTTCCCCCAGATAATCCAGTCATGCTGGAGGGAAGGGATGCCATCCAGAGGCACCATTACAAGGTTGAGAGGTGGACCTGTGTGACCCTCGTGACGTTCAACAAGGCCAAGTGCAAGGTTCTGCACCCTGTCCTGGGTCAGGACAATCCCCTCACAAACACAGGCTGGGTGAAGAATGGATTGAGAGCAGCTCTGAGGAGAAGGATTTGGGGATGTTGGTGGACAAGAAGCTCCACATGACCAAGCAATGTGCACTCACGGCCCAGGAAGCCAAATCACCCACTGGGTTGCATCAAAATCACCATGGCCAGCAGGTCAAGGAAGGTGATTCTACCCCTCTACTGCATTGAGAGACCCCACCTGGAGTATTACATTCAGCTCTGAGGCCCCCAAGATAAGAAAGATGTGGGGCTGTTTCAGTGAGTGCAGAGAAGGGCCATGAAAATGATCATGGCTGTAAGCACCACTCCTGTGAAGACAGGCTGAGAATAGGTGGGGCCCTGCAGCCTGGAGAAGAGAAGGCTCTGGGGAGACCTCATAGCACCTTCCAGAACCTGAAAGGGAGGGCTTTTTCCAAGGTCATTAGTGACAAGACAAGGGGTAATGGCTATAAACTGAAAGATGGTAGGTTTAGATTAGAAGCTAGGAAGAATTCATTTACTGTGAGGGTGTTAAGGCACTGGAACAGGTTGCCCAGAGAAATTGTGGAAGGTGTCCCTGCCTATGGCAGGGGGGTTGGAACTAGCTCATCTTCAAAGTACATTCCAAAGCAAACCAGTCAGTGACTCTGTAACAGCAAAGAGGCAGAAACAAGTAGGCAGGGTCAAGAATTCCTGAATTCTACTTTCACAGAATTGGTGTATCATGAAACACTGCTTATTTATTTTCTGCCCTCCCAGTTGTATCATTTCAAATTCCCACATCTGCAAGAAAAAAAACACAAGCTTCAAAAAAACCCAAAAACCAAAACACCCCCCCCCCCCCCCGCCAAACAACTGGAGATATAAAAATGTTAAACCTGTTAGTCTGTTGTCTATGGAAGCATTGATTATCTGCTATTATTTTTAGGCTGAAATCTGAATGACGCCCACTTCTAGCTGAACTTCTCACACAAAATACACAATTGTGGGTTGATGAGAGGTAACTTTAGAAAGCACATGACATTAACAGTTAAGAATAGAAGTGCAACTCTTAAAAAAATCAAAGGCAAAACCCTACTGACCTCAGCATGAATAAGACATGGCACAAAAATGCTCCACCAATATATAAAATGAAGGAATTACTCAGAATATGAAATGTCCTGGCATTAATGTCAGCTACTAATTTAAGTAGTGGCTTATATTAGGAAATACTAAAGTAGCATAGCAATATTTGAATATTTAAATTAGGAAGAAAACTAAGCATATATTTGCTTAAGCACATTACATGAGGAAACTATTTCAGGTTCCTTAGAAGCATATATTCTTCCTCCATAGCAGAACATCAGGTCCAGAAAAGACACCCCACTTAAATCCTGTTATGAAAGGAGGTTTGTTTTTATGGCTTTTGTCCTTTTTCTTTTCAATAAATAGTAGTTAAACCAGAGAAAATATTTTAATCTTCAACAGCTGAATATGTGTAAAAATAGTGTGTTATTTGTTAATAAACTATGTACATGATTAAGTTGTTTATTATCTAGTTTTCTGGTTTAAATATATTCTTATGAACATGGCCCAGGTTAAATACTTAACTCTTAAACATTAAAGAATCAACTCCTGGATCAGCCTGCCAGAACTATCCTGTGCAAGCACTTCATTAGCATGCTGATGAAAATGCTGCTCTTGGAAATTGTGTTCAAACTAAAATAATGAAAAAGAAGAAGCTTCCTTGAAAGCAAATTTTCATCTCATAAAAATGAAATCATTATCTGAACACAATTTATAGGGGTACTGGAAGCATTACTTCTCCTACTTATTTTACTTACATTCCATGAGAAATAGGCATTGATTTTAAATAACCAATAAAAACAACATTCCAGAGTACTTTCATTCTGAAGTAAAAGTCATTGAAATCCAGACAATGCTTTCAGACATACAAATATCTACCTACTCTCTTCTCCCTTTGGTGTAAACTATTTTTTTCAGCACATCAAAATGAAAGCATTTCTTCCTTAAGCTTAAAACACTCACCCATCTTGTGTTGGTGGATATTCACATTCTTCTCCCTTTGGGAATACATTGCTGGGAAATAGATCACATATTGGAATAGAAGGTGGATCTGTCTGGACCTTAGCTGTTGAGTATAAGAAAGTGTTACACATGGGACTCTGGAAATACTAACCCTCTTATTTCAACCATAAAAGCTAAACAGCAGATGTTATTTAAGATCCCCTTAACTAGAATCTGGGCTTCTACCAAGACAAAATTGTATCACAATGCCCTCATATGACTTCATTTAGCCAATGCTGGAGGCCAATGAATGCCCTCAATGGCATTCAGGGATACCAGAAAAAAGATAACTTGGCCAGACTTAGCCTAAAAACACAAACTGCACCCTTAAATTTGTTTCAGCTGCAAGACCAGCACTTGCACACACTTAATAACAAATATTCACATAGTCTGTATTTTTGTGCTTGATACCTACGTCCTTTCTTCTTTTTCTTCTTCTTCTTCTTTTTCCCAGTTGCTCCATCTCCTTCACCATCTCCATCTAGAGGAAAGAAAGTGCTCAGCTGAACACAAAATAATCTTAAAAGAATCAATGTTTGAATAGAACACAACAACATCTGGACTATCTGGAAACACTTCTCTTACAGCAGAATTTAATGGATTAAAAGACAACATCCAGAAGCTGCCACCAAACCATCAGCATTTTCAGTTCCTACACCAAACACAGACCTAAGAAAATAGTTTTGAAAGTTGACAACAAACATATCACCAAACAGAGGAAAAAAGAGAGCTCAGGTAAAGTGTTTTCAGAAAGTCCTACCTCATAGTCCTCTGCTCTCAATTCAGGCAAATAGACGCATGGAATTGTTAAAGGACACTGTATTAGACACAACAGCTAACAAAAAGCTAGAAACTACTGCTTTCACTCCATCTTCTGATCCTCAGCTAAAAAAACTTACTGCATCTGGAAAGGTAAAGACCCCAGAGAAGTAAAGATGACAGCACTCTAGGCCAGGGTAAATTTAATCTTGAGATAACAGGGAAGGTCACAAACAACACTCTCAGCAAAAGCACTGAATGTGTGAGATACAAGGTGGTCAAACATTGGAACAGGCTTCCCAGAGAGGTGAAGATGCCCCATCCCTGCAAATAGTCAGGGTCAGGCTGAATGGAGCTTTGAGCAACGTGATCTGCCTGAAGATCATTGCAGGGCCTTGGACCAGATGACCTTTAGGTCCCTCCAACCCAAAACCTTCTCTGAATCTATACCAGTGGGAGGTTTCCAGGGAGCACAGCAGGTAAGCACCAAGAATCAGCCACACCTGGGAGGTAACAACAACCCTGCAGACTTCACATTTGGCAACATCTAATCCCTACTTACTTCATACTCAGTACTTCAGGTGCCATCAGCTACCTAAACCTTCTGGTCCTAACCACAAATTCTTTTCAAAGTAGACAAGTACTACTCATCTACATATAGAACATTTTCAACTACAGCAAGAAGTAAAATTAAAAGAACTTCTAGAATCAAGTCAAAGCATTCCATTTTGAGTCTATTTATCCAGAAGCTTGTACTTAAAAACCAAACCAAAACACTGACCAGCTGCTCCAGTCACTAGATTTCAAGCCTCTCATGATGGTCAATATAATCAGCAATTCTATGCCATGATGAGTGCTGTAATTCTGCAGCTGGGGCAAATTTCAGTAGTGTCACTCCTGCCCCTCCCCAGCCAGCTCATTTTGGCATTAAGTATCTTAATTTAAGTTTCTGTAACAAATTGCAGATATAAATACTTTGTATCTATAGCATGGTCCCAACCTACCAGATTCTTCATCAATCTGTATTTCACAGGCAACCAAAAATCCTTAACCAGTGCATATAAATTTCTTTAAAATGTGATAACTTTGTCACATTTGTCTTGACCTTGAGCAATGCCCAAACCATTCATAAAGAAATTAATTAGGCATACTCCAGTTCATTCACCAAGAGATTTCTGGACTATTTTTTCAAAGGCTAGGCCTAAACTGAAGAGAAAAAAACCCCCAGCATTTCTTAAATATCGCTGCTGTTGCTATCTGGGTATTGTAGCTTTTTCATACATCACTGCACGTGAAACTGCCAACTGTGAGCCAAACCAGCCCAGTCTATGCTTTCATGTCCTTGAAGACTGCTGCAGACTAACTGTGCTGCCAGAAACAGAACTACTGCATCTACCAACATTGTTTGTCTTCAGCTTACTTAGCTGCTAAGGAAAAAAAAATTGTCACCAGAAAAGCAATTTCAGGTCTTTGTGAAACAGAAGTCCAACCTTATATCATTTTGGTATAGCCATTTAATAACTTCGCACAGTATCATGCAAAAATGTTACATATCAGTGTATTTTAACATGGCCAGGGAAATCCAAAGAGCACTTGCTAATCTCCTTTTTGAAGCCACCCAGTTGCAGGCTTATCAAGAGGAAAAAAAATAAAAGGAAAGAGGGAGTAGGTATTTTATTGATTTTAATCTAATGCAGCATATCTTATAAAAACAATTCTGAAACTACACAATTAAGATGGCAAATAGTGACAACCAGTACAGGCAAGAACACAGCTGTCTTCAAAACACTTCAATTAGTTATAATTTTTCTGCAAAAGTATCAGTTTTACTAAAAACACATCCACATCCAAGTCTAATATGTGGGAAAAAAGAGAGATTATTAATTCAGTCATAGCATTACTTCATTATTTTATGCTTTCTAATACTGTAACACAATTACTAATACTGTAAAGAGGCTAGGAGAGCACAGCATTTGATCTGCAACTATCATTGTTATTTCTCCCGAGACAGAACTCTAACTATTCTAATGATTTCAAAGATTTCTTTCCATTGTATACAGTTTTCACTACCCTCCTCAATACTTCTTCCTAAAGTTGCAATGATGGCAAAGCACATATTGCATTAATTTCAACTCCATAATTTGAAAGATACCACAAAACAAGCCATAAGAACAGATTTCTATGCAAGGTACGTGCACTAAACTTGATGCTGCAGATTGGTAATGGTCAAAGATAAATTTGTTACTTAATATGTCTCAGCACACTGATTGAATTTTTTAAAACTTCCATTCCTTAGTCATTAAAATGACATTCCGGAAGGACAAATTCCAGCAAGTGAACGAAGATTTCTAAGCAGACTGCTCAAAGTGTTGAGCCAACTTTATAAGCTAATTCAGAAAAATGAAACTAAATAACCACTTTAAGAAATGTGCTTTCTTAAACATCCATTTCTGTTGAGAACCATCCATCAAACCAAAGGAAATATAGCACCTTAACTGGATCTCCCTACAGAAAAGATGGACTCGGTCTGGATTTCAATACAGACACTTTCAAGGTTCTGGCTAAGAAAATCAGCTACACAGCACAAGCAACATACAAAGTGTGTGTCTTGCTTATGTATTAACTTCCCCCCAAGTTCAATTTTATTGAAAAATTATAATTACAGATGAGCAGGTTTCAAGTCACTGCTAAAGACTGTAAAACCTATTAATTAAAATGTTACCTTGAAATTTTCTCTGTATGTTTTAAGCCAAGAATAAGAGACATAATTTGGGACATAAATGTCTACTGGCTGCGGTAATGCAAGTGAGAATGATTTATAGCTTACCTTATCTCAAACTAAACATTCCCCTTCAGCAGGTAGATCCTTGAAAACACAAACTTTAACAAAGCCTGTATTGCTGTTACTTTTATATGTACACCTGTGTGACAGCAAAATCATTGACAAAAAGTAGAAACTATATAGTTGCATCTCACCTCTCTAAAAACAAACCCAACCAAAATCAAACCAAGATATCTGTAAACAGTCTGTTAAAAGGGAGTCTTGGAAGAAGCTGAAACTGGAAATGTTAAGAGAAAATATAAGTTATACTTGCCATCATCATCATCATCTTTTTCTTTCTCCTCCAGGGCTTGCTTGTCCAATTGTTTTGCTACATCATCAAGAGCACCTTCCATTTCTTTATCAGTTTCTTGTCCTGTTTGTAAAGTTTAAGTATGACTTACTGTAAAACATTAGCTCCATGTTAGTAACCAACAACCCCCAAAGCTTTATAAAAACATTATGTTGTACTCAGCCCACAGACACCTGAGCACTTAGTGCCTTTTTCTGTCTTAAAGCAGCCCCAAAGTGTAAGGCTGTAGAACAGTACAGTGACAGGTGCTGTTAATGAAACCTGCACATAAAGGTAGATTAGCCTGACACTTCTGATTACTTTTTTCTGCCAGGGTAACTAATTCTTCTTCCCATAGCAGGAGCCTGCTCTTGTGAGATAATATGGGCGTGAGGTAGATAATTATAAACGCACAGCACGATCATGGCTAACTGATGGCCTGCTAAAACAAACCCAAACCATCGCGCCTTTACGCTATTTGCCCAGACTTGCTCCAGCTCTCTCCGAGAACTTGGGAGGGGTGCAGAGCCTCCATCAGGCGGGATGACTTTTACAGTGGCAGTCTTACACCTTTCTCCCCTCGGGGCATAGGAGAGGGTGAGGGAAGCGGTGCCTTCTCTTGCGCACACCGGAGCGGGGAGGACACCCCGGCTCCGGCCGACCGACAGCAGCATCCTCCGGGCACCGCCAGCCCCCTCCGAGCCGCGGGGATCCCCCTCAGCCCACACCGCTGCCAGGGGCCGGGACAGCGGCCTCGGCGGCGCCCCGCACCCGCACGCCGGGACCCTTGAGCCCCCCACGCCCGCGCACAGCCGCACCCGCTTCCCGGTGTGCGGCCCGAGGCCCCTCACGCCGCCCAGCCCGTCAGCGCAGGGTCGCGGCGCGGCCCGGCCCCTACCCGCAGGGCCCGCTCTGCCCTTCTTCTTCTTCTTGCGCTTCTTCTTGGCGCCATCGTCAGCGCCGAGCCCGGCCGCGCCGTCCCTGTCCTCGGGCTCGGGGGGCAGCTCGCCGTTCAGGTGCTGCTCCCGCTCCTCCGCCCGCCCCACGCCCGCCATGTCGCCGCGGCCGCGCCGCCTCGCGCGCACGGAGCCAGCCGGGGAGAGCGGCGGGGCCGGCGCCACGCTCTGTGGTGCGCGCGGGGCACGCCGGGACGGCGGAGGACTCGGCCGGGAGGGCGGCAGGGGGCGGGCTCTCCGCCGCGCACGCGCGCCGCCGCCGGGGTGCGCGCGCGGGCGCGTGAGGGGGAGGCGGCGGCGGTGGCGGGGGGGCCGTGGCCGCTCCTGGCTGCGCGGAGCGATAAAAAATGGAAAGGCGAAATCTTATAAAAACAGCACTTTTTGTCAGGAGGTACAGCTGCTACGTTTCCTTACAGCACGTAAGATTGTTAGGCTTTTACCATTCGAGGGCGCTGAGGAATGTGACTAACGCGAGAGATAACTGGTGTACAGAATGAAAATAATACAAAGGGAAAAAAATCACTCGTTCCAAGTCACATAGAGCAAAAAAGAGAAGATTCGGATACATGATAAGGACACTGCCTTGTCCCGTTTCCACTACTCTGTAGAAAAACAAGGCAAAATGCCAAATTTGCCAGCATCCACTAATGAATGAAGTATTAAATCAGCCCGGCCCTTAAAATTAATTTACTGAGTTTATACTTTTCACAGATTTTCTACAGTATATCCGTGCTGGCTGAAAAATACTTTTCCTGCTTGGTATACTTGAACATAAGATGATGCAATATAGTGCCATTATAATTTATAACATATGAAGGTTCAAAACGGTCCTTGTGCTGCATAGCTATGTTTTAAAATGCTTCTGCAGGCAGGCCTTTGCTTGGGAAAGCTGGTAATGCCCGGTTCCTCACTGAGGTACAAATTCCGCCCCCTTGGCCCCAGCCAGGCTGGCTGGCTCCATCTGCCCCTTCCTTGGGTCATACCCATGGGCATCTCCTCACTCCTGGCCTGATACAATTCCCAGGAAGAACAGAGTTCAAAAGGACTAAACTAATGCTGTAGTACTGATCAAAGTCCATCTTGCTCCAGGCAAGTGTCATGGCAGCATGATTTCCATGCACTGCTGTCACACTGACAATGGATGACATGATAGCATGTGCACTAATGCTGCCTAGAACACTCTGGATTTATTGCTTTCTATTCTAGTCTTCTAATTAGATAGAAGCAGAATCTACAGAGCTGGTTTGGTTGGGGTTTTCTTGTGGATGGTGGCATGAGAAAGGGGGAGCATCAAAGATCAAATTCCCTGAATTCTCCATTTTGAGTCATCTTACATCTTCCTGTTGTGTGTTTATTGTAGTTGGGCACTGTAATGGTCCCAGGATATCTGACAGCAGTGATTTTGTGGTTTGCTTTAGTCCATTAGTCTCTCATACATCAGACTGCTCTACCCCTTGCTCTGACCCCTGTAGTGACTTTGAAAGCTTGAAAAAGAGTGATTGTGCTCCTGTTCCATTCGATCTGGTGTGTGCCAAAACAGGTTGCCAGACCATGGCTTTTGTTGACTTTGGAAGTGAAGTGAGAGGTAAAGGAGTCCATAAAGTCTACAGAAGCCCAGGGAAGACAGAAGGGGAATATTGGAGACAGATAAAATTAGAATACATCTCATGCAGAAGCTGCAAACATGAGATCTGGAAATGCATCAGAGGAAAAAAAAAATCACAAGCAGAATAAATGTTTCTGTGGTCAGCTGAACTAACCAAGGCAGTTTTCTCAGAGCATTATTTCTTTCCATTCCAGACTGGACTCTGGCACCATTCATAGTCACTATGATACCCCAGCAGAGAGGTAGAGATGGCTTGTGCCACATGGTTCAGCAGTTTGGCCTGTCTCTGTTTAGGTGGGGACATTTCTTTGAGCTGCTATTGTTTACTCAGCTGACGATTTTTGGAAAGTGTGTCCAAGTGTCATTACGTTTGGGCATGTTATTCCACCAATTTTGTCTGAAAATGAACCTTCACATAAACCTCCTTTATTTAAAAAAGTAGGCTGAAAATAAATTGTAGAGTGGTGTCACACTTAACATAGAATGAAATAAAACCCAGCAGAGTGAAAGCAAGCTGTGAGTGAGCTAGAAAAAGCTGGATTAACCCAGTGTCTGTACAGTTTGAGATGGTGTTATTGGACCCAGGCTGTGCTCATCAGGCTCTCAGGGGAGAGGGCACACAGCAAAGTTAAGCATTTTCCAGGTTATGCTGTTTCCAGACCCAGACTTAGCACCATATATAAGAGAATATGGATAACTAAGAGGGGAATATCATGATAACCAATGTGCAAAAATAGGAATGCTCTGTAAAAAAAATTGCAAAGTGGGAGTAAGAAGCTGGCCTGACTGCACTGACAAAGCAAACATTAATGTGAACAGGCTGACAACCGGTTCCACATTCCCCATCTAGCTGTTTTTAAGAGGATCTAAGCTCATGGATGCAGAGGGTGAGACACACCTTGTTGAATGCCCTTACCAGCTCAGAGTTTTTTGTCCTTCTTCTGTTATTGCCAGTCAGCTGTTCCTAGTGTTTAATACACATTATAATAATGGATGCTACTTTTCCCAATTGCATGCTGTACTAAATAGCGTGATAAGGTGAAAGTATCAGCCAGGCCGTAGGCCAGGAGAGACCTGTGAGTACCATTTTCAGCTGGAAGTTTTTGTTTTCTCACTATTTGTTTTTCTTAATCAGCCTTCCAGACAAAGGCAGGCGGTGGCTGGGGAATTAAGGGAAGGGCTGAATGCAGTCCAAAACATTCAGCAGGATTTGAAACACTTTTCTGAAAGACAACACAAAGAGTCACCTCCTCTTATTTTTCTTCTAAGAAGACTGCTCCAATTGCACTATTTTCCAAGCAAACAAAGTTATGATCTTCAGAAAAAGACTTTTTTCTTAGGGCATGTTGTGTTTTCTTTCGTGTTTTGTTTTCAAATTTTATGTAAGTGTCAAGAAATGGCATGGAATGGAGTGGGGGAGCTGTCTCTGACAGCTGTGGTTTAATCCTGGAAAGAGGGTGTGCAAGGACAACTAGGGAGTAAGTGGCCTATATCAGCCCCCAGAAGAGTTGAGCAGCGGGATGTTATATTTGTTTCTGTTGGTATTTCTGGGACTGATGCCATTATTTATGTGTTTATGACACTTTAATACTCTTTTTCCTAGCTGAGGGCCAAAACTCAGAGTCCTTACTCAGCTGTAAAAATTCACTGAAGTCAATGGGAAAATTTTTTTGACTAGAGGTTTAATATTAGGCCTAAATGCTGGAAGTAGACAAGGAAATGTTTCCTGCATGACAGCAAATATGTCTTATGGACTCTAGAAGGAAAGATATTCCTTGTCACCCATTGCTGAAGACAAAGGATTCTTCTACTTCCTCAGCCATCTCTAAAATTTTCTTATGACCTAGATGAAGTAGCGAGATCAACATGGCAAAACCAGACGAAAAATTCACATTTAACTCTGTTCACTGTGTCTTCTTTCCACGTTCCTTAGTGATTGGGTGTTTTTTTTTTTTCTTTTCTTCTTTTTGCTGAACATCAGCTAGATCACAGCCTGTCAGCTGCAATCCAAATGTACTGCCTTGCCTCAGCTGGTGTCCCAACATCTGTGTCCCTTGGAGGACAGGTTTCAAGGGATGTATGAGCGCTTCTGAAGAGAAGCAAATTTCTCCTCTCTGAGTGGTGAAAGTCACCGTGAGAAGCACAGTCTGCTGTGTGTGTACTCAGACTGGGACAAAGCAAATGCTTCTCAGTTTGCATCAATAGATGCATGCTGTGAAATGTGAAAGTAAGTCAGCTTTAGAGCTTACTTTTCAAATTGCTTTTAAACTACAAGATTCATGTGAACAAAACAAGTCAGTGCCTCAGGAGGACTCCTGGAATTTCTGTGGCAAGGAGCTATTGCATTAGACAGGAATGCAGAAATTAGAAATACATTAGGACATGCTGCAGTGAGCATCTCCCTGACAGCACATCTCTGTGCCTGTGCCTAGTCTTGGTAAGGGATGAAAGGCTACATAGACCCTAGACTGCTGTTTTTAAATAATTTTTTGGGTATTTATGATGGAGTCATAAAAATTATTTTTTATAATAAAAGCATCTTTCTTGATTGACTCACTGAGCCATAACTGCAGATGGAAGCAGTCTTCTTTTCCAGATAACAAACTGAGACATTGTATAGCCTCAGAAATAATTGTAGGTCATATCTCCTGAAAACCCTAATTTAGAGCGGTATGAACCTAAATTATCAGGAAGTTATATTTTGAATTTGAGATTGTAATCAATTTTATATAATTTAATACACCGATGTATTAATGTATTCTTATTCACACAGTGAAGGTTCTTTTCTTGTCTGAAGAAAATTTTCAAGACCTCGCACAGAAAGTAATGTAGCATGAAAAACACTAACAATTTCTTTTCCACAGCCTGCTGATGTAACAGCTTTCCTCTGGGTTCTCTGCTCCACCCCTTCTGCATTCTGGGGAGTAATGGAAGTAATGTTTACAGCTGAAGTGCTGGAGGCAGTACCTGTGTATTTCTTTCACCAGATATTTTCTTTTATGTCCAGGATAGTCTTCCATTTCACCTTCACACCTCCTCCAGTCTTAAATTGGAAACAGTCATTCATTTTGCTGTAGATGAAAACTAGAATGAAAGAGAAAGGCAAGAAACCAGAACTGGTCTTGTATTTCACTGTAGCTCTTCCCCCTGGCTTTACTGCTAGGTAATGGTGTGACACCATTAGTGGTGGGAGCAAGGAACTTACATTTTCAAGGAAAGCACAAAACTTACCCCCGAGGTAGATGTAGCCAGGACAGAGCAGGAGAGACAGGGGCAGCACAGGGCTGGAACTGGCACTCTGCCATGCAGTGTGAGCAGAGAGAGAGAGAAGTGGGAAGGTGACAGTGTCCTACATCTAACACTACCTCCTTGAGCTGTGATACCTAATGTTCATTCCTGCTGTCAGCATTTCATGAGTTTAATATATTTAATTTAAAAACTTTGAACAGTTAGTTATATAATGCCACAGAACAGCTTTGTTCTATTGTTTTGGCTTGGACTGAACAATAGCATATAGCAGAGCTCTGTGGATTTCATGAAATTCATGTCTGCTGACTAATGTACTGGGAGACAGTGTTCACA